ACCATGATAGAGGTGTCAGAAATGAGTAAGATGGCGGACCTTGAGATGAATTTGATGGAAGAGTCAGAAGGAACGGATGATGCCAGGAGTGGTGTGAGTGGCTGGCGTGTGTCTGTCTCGTAATGAACAATAGGCACTGAGTGAAGGTCAAGCATGATCTCTTCGCCATGAAAAACACTAAAAGAAATAGAGCATTATTAAGTAGAGATGCAGATGATTCCATAAAATGTTTGTTGCATTCGGAAGAAGGACGCCTTCTTGAAGCAGCAGAGGTCAAGAACTTTCACGTCTTCAGTCCTTGGAAGATTGAATAGATGCCTGTCTCTCTCTTCTCTCTTTGCTTGTGTGCTTTCTCTGATGAACGAATAATAAGGGGAAGTATATGGCAATGGGTGAACAAATGCTATATGAATGGATGAACAGATACATTTTTCACTTAGTGATTGAGCTCCATTCTTGGTCCAAACTCCTTTGCAAATTGACCCTGACATGATGATCTTGTGGTCAAATTTGTGGCGTGCTTTTTCGGCCGCAGACAAGGTACAAAGAAAGGTGTGATTCTGACTGAAATTTGGTATGCTTTTCTTCCTTCATACACATGAGAATTTGACGTCTCATCACGTCACAATCCATTTGCTCAACAATTGTTCGATTTGTATCGCATCTCTTACTCAGAGAGCTAATGAGAGGACGATTGAATGGATCCCTGTCTGCCTCTTCTCTCTTTGCCTGCGTGCTTTCTCTGATGAATGAATAAGAGAGGGAGCTATATATGCTCCATTGAGCCTCCAAGATGTGGTAATTTTGGAAGAATCCGAGAACAGTCTTTTTCCCGTGTTAGTGATGGCAGAAGAAGAGCTTGGATGCCAGTATCTTACGAGGCGCCTCTTCAGCGGACCACTGCATGCTCTGAAAAGCTCCCTAAGCTTCGTTAAAGCCTTCTTACTGAATTCCATCGAACCTGCAAGATTCAATAGTTTTGGAAGAATCCGAGAGAGGTCTTCTTACTGTATTAGTGAGAGCAGAGTAGAAGTTTGGAAAGATGTATCTGACGCAGCCTCTTCAGCGCTCCATTCCAGGCTCAGCAAAGCTCCATTGAACCTGTAAGATGCAATCCTTTTGAAAGAATCCGGTGTTCAGCGCTCCATTCCAGGCTCAGCGAAGCTCCACTGGACCCGCAAGATAGGATGCTTTTAGAAGAACCTGACAGCAGTCTTCCTACCGTGTTAGTGACAGCAGAATGAAAACTTAAAAAGTGTTGTATACATCAGGAATCTGTGAGTTGAACCCCAGAGTTCCTTCGCTCCCCAGGGTTTCAACTTACAGATTCCTGATGAGGGGTGGGGGGTCTGAGTTGGCTGGGATAGAGAGGGTTGGGGCTGATGTGGGGCTGTGGGCTGATGTTGGGGTGAGCATGCACTGATTGAGCAGGCACATACGCCCAGATGAGTCATATGAGCACATACCATCCTTCCAATCAGTCAGTAGGCACGCACGCATCATTTGTTAGTCCCCCCATCTACGCAAGCAAAGCAGACATGGATGCATCAGTCAATCAGGCCTTATGGCCATCAACTGCTTCCTGATTACGCATTCACGAAGGCTACACCCACAGTCAGTGATACGGCCGACTATACGGCCTATTAGGAGCACACCACTGACTGGTAAGCGAAAGCACACAGAGCGAGGCACGCAGACAGGCACTGACAGACCGACCGACAGGTTGAGAGCACGCACGCACAGAACCCTCTGTATCATCTCACACACCGACACCGAAAGCAACTACACCCAATCTCACAAAAAGTCTTTCTCACCGCATTCACGATGCCGGGGATCAACAACGACCTCATCGACATCATCCTCAGCATCAATCACGTCAGTCGCGTCACATTCACCTCGATGAAGCCGTCGTTGTTGGCGTACATGCGCTTGAGGTCGTTGGCGAAGGGACAGAACTCGTCGCTCTTGGACGGGATGTGGGTCACGCGATCGGTACCGATGGTGAACAGCTCTTTGTCGTGGTCGCCGACCGCTCCGATCAGGCAGAACCAGTTGGCGCCAGGCACGCGCCGGAACGGCTCCATCACCCTGACCCCAATATCCGTGATCCATTTGACATCGGGGTGGTTCCGGTCCCAGCCACCGGCGCCGCACTTGATGCCTCCGTCCTGCCAGGTCTGACCAGGCTTGGCTTCGAACGCGTAGGTCTTGCCTGCCTCCAACACCAGGCCGGTACGGTTGTAGAACTGGTGGGCGTAGACCGGTAGCGTGCGCGTCTCGCCGAGGTTTAGCGGCTTCAACGGGTGCATACCGATACGGATGTGGTGGGCCAGGTTGTCGAAGGTGACGGTGGTCCCGTCCGGATAGAGGATGTCGTGACACACTTTTTTTAGGCTTTGCGGCCGGTAGTCGTCGTCGCCGTAAATGCGCTCGGCCACCGTGTGGTGTATCACCGGCGGATCGTTGGTGATCTGGTCGTTCTTGATCTTCACGGCGCGGCGATCGTGCAGGGTGAACTTGGATATGGGCCAGATCCGCGACTGCTCGTGACTAATGCCAAACTTGTTGGCCTCTACGATAAGGTCGTCGAGTTCGATCTCGATCTCGTCGTCGACAGCGCTGATTTCATCGTACTTGACCGCCGTCGGCGCAATGGTCACCACACCGGTCTCGCGGCGCTTGAGTTCGGCTAGCACGAAGCGGAGTACATTGTCTGACAGGCCATCGCGGCGGTAGCCGCCGCCCACATCGCCGTGGGAGCCGGCGAACCAGACCTCGGTCACCCGCTCTTCCGTGTTCATCAGCGTCGGCTGGAAGGCCTTGCGCTTTTCGTCCAGCGACACACAGTGAAGGGCCTGCTTGATGTTGGATGCAATCACGCGGTTCTCGAAGACCACGTCCGAGGCCGGACGCCGCTCGACGTTCAGGTCGGGCATGCCGATGGACGCCACCGTATCGAAGCAGATGAGCAGTTCCACCTCGGCGCGCGCCTCGGGCTTGATCTCCTTGCTCATCACCGAGCAGAAGCGGCGGGCGATCGCCGCGCCGCGACTGTAGCCCACCACGAAAATCTTGTCGCCATCCTTATAGTACGTCTGCAGGTCTTTAAGGCCGGTCTTGATGATGCGGCCGACGTCGGTGAGGGCGAAGCCGGCGTTGAAGATGCGGTTGAGGACGTGACCATAGGTGCCGACGCCCGGGTAGTACAGGCTCTGCTGGTCCAGCTTGTGTTTGTTGCCGTTGTTGAGGTCGCCGCCGAACAGCAGGTGCAGCTTGAGCACGTTGGTGATGCTGGCGTCGCGCAGCCCGCCGCTGCTGGTTCTTTCCTGTACCGCGTCTTCGGGATCGCTGCAGGTGCCGTCAAAGCAGAAGATCAGATTTTTGGGCTTCACAGGCCGAAATGCGTGACGACTGGCCGCAGCGGCTGACATCGCGGCCAGATGGAACCGTCCGGCCATGGCAACGAAGAATGCGAAAGGGCAACGAGGAACACGAGAGGGACACTGGGAGAGCGAAATGATGGCGGAGGAGGATGCACCAGCTTTTGCGAGCTTCCGCAAATTGGGCTAGTGCCCAATTCCGCGAATTGGGCTAGTGCCCAATTTGCGTCTTTAAGAAACAACACGTTCCGCAGACAAAACGTTCGATCACGATCGTATGGAGGAGAAAAGGAAAAACGGTAGAGGTGATGTGTTGCTTGCAGTACTACAGACACGCCAATATGTCGAGAAGCTTCGTGTTTTTTTGTCACGTTTGG